ATGACGGAGTGGCATAAGATATAGGCTCAACCTGCAGAAGTGCAAAGATACGCTTATCAGCTTTAAATTACAAAAGTAATCGATGACTATATTCCGATCACTTGTCGAAAGTAGTGTTAGGCAATCGTAGTACGATTACTTTTAAAAGCTTGAAATTTATAGTGCTCGCTAGGTTTTTTTAAAATCGCGTTTTTTTTGTAATCGCGAGCATTTTTGTAATCGATCTTACTTTTTAACGAAAAAGTAAAAGCGCTCTCAAAACCCAGTTTTTTTTAAAGCGGGAGAACTAATTGGTAACAGATTACTTTTTGTAATAGCTGGATCCAGCTCTGATTTCAATGAAGATCTCTTCAAAATAGAAACAAGTTTACATATTTCACACATTCAGCCCTCCGATGTATCAGAAACATCAAACTTAACGTGCAGGTTATCTACCCAAAAACGTTAACAAACATATTAATTACCCATCCACATCTTTTTTTGTGTTACAATAAAATTAATCACATCTAATTGCAGGATAACGAGGGGTATTATGATATTTTACTTTTATTACCCAAGGTCTAAGATACCCGAGTGGCATTGCCGGCGGGAATACAAATATGGTTATTCTCACTTATTTTTCTACAATATTTAAAAATTTTGACACACATTACGACTACTTCTATATAATGGAATCGTTTGCAAAACTTTATAAATAGGTATTGAATTTGAGGTAGCTATATATTTTTCAGTAAATCTTTACTGTCATGTCATTATAATATTGTGGGAATTATGCAAAATAGAGACACTTTTTTTTTAAATTAAAAATGCTCTCGACAAATTTCATTATTAACATAAATATAGGTAATGTCCTTTTCAATTTCGTTTTTATTGCTTAGACAATTTTACTCAATAAAACCTAATTTAAAGACACAACCAAATTTTTATGTGAATGAGAGTATGTATTACTAGTTCCTGAGTTATTAAAGGGATAGGAGTGGGGTTAAAGTTTTGCAGAATTATTAGCTGATTTCAAATAACATTTCGTCTTTTTCTATTTCGTAAAATTGTTATTTCCTCTTTTGAACTTGTACTTACATTATTAATGGCCGTTTGCATCGACAAATTTAGGTAGAGCTTAGCTTAAGCGTAGCTTAAAATCTATGGCAACGATTATTGAGACAATGGTTGCCATGGATTTTAAGATACGCTTACGCTAAGCGCCGCTTAAATTTGTCGGCGCAAACGGCCATAAGACACGTTAGGTACCTTTGGTGTCAACAAGAATTCCGATTGCCATTTATTTTCAACTTGTATATTAGCGCTAACTTTTGCTTTTTCTCAGGTAAAAATATTGTTAGTTGTTTGTTAACATCAAAGATTTATCTTAAAAACTTATCTTAATAATGCATAAGTTTAACAGTGAGCAATTCGCGGTTTTCACACCAAGAACGTAATCAGTGTCAAATGCCTTGAAATCAAAGAAGCGAGATTAAATTTAAAATATTTGATATCAAAAAATGGTAATTTGATCTTCTTTGTTCTGATAACTGAACTGTTAAAGTGGGCTTCGCAATATGGATACCTACATTATTTAGTTTAAGCAAAATAAAAAAAAATGACTCATGGAACTTTCTAATATGGATTGTTGGTCAAAAATCGGGCAATAACGAGTCATGAGTTATCAATGAAAAAATGAATTGAATGTGCAAGGCCAAGGAGTCGATTTAGTTTTATAGTAGAACTGAATCTAGCACACACCATTTAAACTCTGGTCAATTAAATCAAATTTGGTGGCACAAAAACTGTTACAGAGGTTATACGAGTAACAAAAAGATTGAAACTGAGGCAAAAGAGAACATTTTTGATGTAGTGGTCAAGACTTGAAAATATTAGCTGTTTTGGTAAAGGATTGGTCCTGTAAGAAAACGTCTATTTCCGGTCTATCAAAAATTTGTCTATATTCCGTAAAATGGCAATACTATACCGAGTAACTGCCCTATATTTTTGTCGAAACTCTCATGGACCTGTCTTTGTACTGCATGTTGCTTTACTTGTATTTATTGTGTTTGTTTGTTCAAGAAGTTGTATTTGTGTGGGTGCTTGGGTTATTGCCTGGTGGAGATATTACAGTATGTTGTGAGCCAGTAGTGCTGTTTAGGTTTTTGCGGTATTATTATTGGCGTATATTCGCCAATAGGGAAAGTGTCCGTTTAGTAGAGCGCGCGCCATTGATCTAACTTTTTTTATTACTAATCCTATTGCGTTACGAAGGAAACTTTCTGTTTCAAAGTAATCAACAACAAACCATTCTGTATTGTCAAAAAAGCAATTCCAAACCATATGTAATACATTTTACACAACTAACGTTGATGGTGGCAAAGCAAATATTACCTCAATTGAATCAACGGAAATAATGTTAATCAACAATTAAATAAATGGGATGGATACTGGGTAGTTTAAAGCTACCCTACCCTTGCCGATTTGGTTAACTTATAATACCTGACTAACGTAACGCATTGGGAAACATTTTTGACGTAAAAACAATGAATAACTAACGATTTTGCGCCTCTAAAGGCCGGTCCAGACTTGTTGCGTATCCTCGTATCGTATCTCCGTATCGTACCAGTACCAGTGTAGACAGGGAGACGTTGCACAGAACCGTATCAAAACTGTGACACATGAAACGCAACGGACGTGATCGCCTAGTTGGCGGTTTTTCGCCGAGACATCAAAGGGATGACACGGCACTAGTTTGGACAGATATAAATTTACATGTTGCAACAACGTTGTTTTTAACTGAATGTTGTATCCTTTTTTGAAATTGTTGGCCCAAATGTTAATCAAATATTCAAAGTCTGTTGGATCTCCCTAGTAAAGTTTTTATACAGGGTGTCCCTAAAAGGTCTGTACAACGCGCTACCAGGGGTTCTTGGTATCAAAATAGGACGATTTAACCCAACTTACCTCTATCCAAAAGTGCCTCGGTAAGGCGCTATCTACCGCCAAAGATTTAAAAAAAAATCGTTATTTTTATTTTATCGGAAAATGTGGTTTTGCCGATTAAAATGAAATTCGGGATGTGAATGTCTATGATGTAAAAATGGGTCTTTGTGATATCACCGTTTTGATTGTAGTTGCTATGTAATGGTTTTGAGGAAGTTTCACAGCCATCGATCTTTTGATGTATGGTGCATGCCATTCATCATGCGTAAATTTTTTTTTTTTCGTAAACCATCACAGATAGCGATATTCATCAAGAGACAAAAAATGCTTGCAAGTAAACTGTCTATCAGTGTCTAAAAATTCAGAACTGTCAAAATAGTAGTTAAAAAGTTTTAGACCTCTTCAGATGTGGATGGTCAGTATTTTACCACCTACATAGCAACTACAATCAAAACATGATATCACAAAGACCCTTTTTACATTAGACATTCACATCCCGAATTTCATTTTAATCGGCAAAACCATTTTCCGATAAAATAAAAATAACGATTTTTTTTAATCTTTGGCGGTAGATAGCGCCTTACCGAAGCACTTTTGGATAGAGGTAAGTTGGGTTAAATCGTCCTATTTTGATACCAAGAACCCCTGGTAGCGCGTTGTGCAGACCTTTTAGGGACACCCTGTATATTATAAACTGAAAATTTAAGTCTGCCAACGAACTCTATGGCTTTCTATTCTTCTTGTTCGTTAATGCATTAATGAATGTAAATATACACGGCGTGATACGGATACTTTGTGCTATCTGGAGTTATGTAGCTGTTGCACCATATCGTATCAAGAATACGACACGGGGATACGATACGAGAATACGCAACAAGTCTGGACCGGCGTAAGCCGGCGTTCATACTGGAGCGCTAGACGATAAGCGATATATTGTTAGTAGGAGATATGTTGCGACGTAGGTTTATCGTTTATACAGCGGGAGATAAAATCGGCGCGACGTGAGCGATAAAAAATGTTCACAGAATACAATATGGTTATTGTTTTATCGGTTCCATTTGAATTTTAAGAATCTGTTAATGCGTTTCGCGTATCGTATTACCGCCTACCGCATGTATCGCTTATCGTCTGTGACCTCAGTGTGAACGCCGCTGCCTGAGCCGATGTGTTGCACCGACATATTCCTACGGAGCGGGCGATGTCGCGCGACTGCGAACCTTATTTATCGCCTCCCTTTCAGTTTCAAGAATCTGTTAATGCGTATCGTTATCACGTATCACCGATATATCGCTTATCGTAGGTATATCGCCTCAGTATGAACCCCGTCTTAAGGCATGTCTACATTTGCAACATTATCCCCTGGCAAACCTCGCCACGAACCAGGCAGCATTTCGAACCGTAAAACACTTTTTAATTTCGTTGAACTGAACAACGTCGCGTACACACTAATAGGTACAAGTGCGCCGCTATCTTCCCTTTGATTTATCGTCAAAAACCAACAACTCGTGGATCGGAACGAACCTCAATCTGTAACCCTTATCGGGTTCGGGACGTAGTCCGTTGCGGCGCGGCGTCCACACTAGTACGGTGCGCGACCGGACTATGTGGATTGTGGACATGTCTTTAGAAGCAGAGCAATTAAAATTTTAATTTGGGTGGTGCTGCTGTGAGCTTGGATTGCCCACATTTTTTCCACTGTAAAATGAATTTCGCAAAATAAACGTTCATATCAGCAAAACAATCAATAAGACAACAACTAAACACTAAAATGAAATAATGTTGCTCAGGTTTGAAAACTGTTAGAGTACTTGGGCATTGTGAAGTTACCCTTGCCACTTTTGGAAGTGTTTCAATATCTATCGTTTTGCAAAACAACCCTTTTTTGTCAAAACAATCAATAACAAACTAACGATTCTGTACCTTTTACTGGCAGAGTAGTTATAAATTTACGCTGGGTTGGGTTGGTGTGAAGTAGAAGTAGAGAGAACCAGGGAGGAATGTACCGTTTCACGTATTCCATATGCGAATATAGCATGTAGCAAAACTAACAGGAGCATTCCAGTAAAAGACAAACGTATAAAAACAATAATATAAAAGTTTAATATATGTACACAGGAGTATAACGTAAAATGTGTATTTTAAGAATTATTATCATATAAGGGGTATTCACATTTACATACATGTAACTTCTTGTAAGTACATGCTGTAGCACAAATACAAAGCTATAAAATGAAAGGATTTCCCCTTAGATAAATGTTCATATAAATTTCCTAAGTACTGCATTCTATCCACTTCGTACACAGTCACATTTATAGTAAGACATTGTTTTTGCCTAATAAGACGAAACAATTTTTTACTAATACATGCCGAAAATGTACACACCCCTACAGTTGTAGCAAATATTCTATAATAGAACACATATTTCCAGATGATGTAGCTATAAGTATTTGTAAAAAATCGTTTTGTAAACAACAATTAATAAAAGAATCAAGGTAATAAACAAATTGAAGTTAATAAATACAATCAACATTCTAATTCAGTTAATAAAAAATTAAGTCGCTAATTTTATGTACAAGTACTAATCATAGAACACAATTTTGTACAAATAGAAACACTAAAAGTATATCATTAAGAGATCAATAAAGTACAAATTTTATAGTAACTGGCTAATGGGTAATAACTCCATTGTTTTAATTATCACATTTTATAACAGAGTCGTTTTTATGATACATTAAGTGCGATTGACCTATGAAAAAGCAGCCACTAAATTTAGAAAAAATGTCAGTAGCAGAGGAATCGACTCTGTCAGTATATCTACATCTTAATTTTATATTTACAAATTGATGAGTATTTAAATAAATGTAACTACCTCAAATTAACATTAGTAAATGACTTCATACACTGTTGCTTTCTTATCGCCAGATCCTGTCACAATATACTTATCATCAGTTGATATGTCACAACTAAGCACGCTTGAAGACTCCTTAGACTAAATAGGGGAAATTGTATTAAAGCCTTCATGAGATATAAACATACCTGAAATATGCTGGCCCCATATGGCGTTCTCCAGGCATTGAGTAAATTATCCTTCCCTGTTGAGACAAACCATTTTCCACATGAGGCAAATCGTAAACTAAGCACGCAACTTTCGTGCAAGTGCAGCTGGTACTTATCAGGTTTAGATGCGTGTAAAACTTCAACATTTGAATTTTCCATGCCGACAGCCAACCATTCGCCTGTAGGACAATAGCCAAGAGAAAATATTTGCGAACTGAAATCGTGCTGTTGCAACTGCCTCCCTTCTCTTAAATCCCAACTTCGTACGGTATTGTCCAAGCCTCCCGTCCATAATTTTGTACCGTCCGCAGATATATCGATACACGAAGCGCCGTCCGTGTGTCCTTGAAACTGTCTAACGAGAGTTTGATTGTGTAGATCCCATACCGCAATGTTTCCATCTGAACAACAACTAAAGCAAACTTTTGAATCGGGGCTAATCGCGAGAGCGTAGCATGCCGGTGCGCTGGAGGTTAGTTCGGCTTTGATTCTAGGCGTAGGACTAGCCAAATCCCATATAGACAGATTACTAGCTTCTCCTCCCACAATTAGCGTTCTTCCATCCGGCAACAACTTGACCGAACGGATGTAGTTATCCCTTTGCTGCAAGTGAGACGCCTTAACAAATAATGCAAACACGAGATCATAACACTCACCAGGCAATCAAGTTGTGAAACTGGACTTTTTGAACCCGGCTGACTTATATCCCAAACCTTTACGCATCCCTTCCCTCCCGTATAAACGTATTTAGTCGGATTGGAAATTGTTACTGCGCAAACTACTTCTCCGTGGCTTAGTGTGTTGATTTGACGTGCATGCCTTGGAATCCCAGGCCCCACTAAAGCATCTGGCGGAAAAGGAACCGGCTGCATTTGGCCATCGGCACTTACATGAAAGGAATAAGCACTAAAATGGATTTGGTAATTTCGAGTATCAATGTTGGCAGTACTTACGGTTTTCCGCCTGGTATTCCACCTAATCCTGGCACTACAGGTGCCCTCATTTGTGAATGAGGGTCGTAACCCACCTGCAGAGGGGGCCGCGGGTAGTTGTTGAGGGTGGGAGGTAAATTGTTGTGCAAAGGTCCATACGCGCTCGCGGCCGCTTGCAAATCATGAGCAGCACCTTGATAATCAACCATTAGACATCAGTATTAAAAAGGTTACAAAGTTACCATTGGGCATACCACCAAGGTATGGTGGGTATTGGCCTAAACTCGGCGGTTTCACCACAGGTTTTAGTCCACTACCACTGGACGACGATCCCGATGGAACTCCAGAGGTTGGTGTAATTGATTTAGATATTGGGGTTGATGGTTTATCCCCATCTAGTTTTTTAGTGGATGGAGTAGAGGCATTACTGGACGTTCCCGATCTGGGACTATGAGGACCGGGGTGGTCTTTTTTTACCGTTAGTTTGTCAATACCATTTTCTCTTGGTGAACTTGTCCCATTAGGTGGCGATACGGGATCTTCCGATGCATCATCTACCACCAAATCTTGATCACTTTTCTCGCCATCACTGTGCTGCAATCATGGATTTGGGTTAATTTAAATGTGCTAAATGACTCGGACATCTAATCAATCACTGATTGGATGCGGTGCAACACAACTCTACCGACTGTCTACTGGTAATTCTGCCTTTTTACGTGCATAGATGTTTTGACTAACTAACAAGTGTTACAAACTCATTTATTTGTTGAATTGAATATTGCTTTATGTGAATAACACGCATTGGAAGAAATAATGTCAAACAATTTTCGATTATAAAGCGAAGCGTGTTATTGAGAATAAAAGGGAACCTATTCACGTTTTTATACGAATAAAAAATATGAAAAGCCATAAAAGCTGTATAATCGTAAACTTAAAATGCACTTAAATTTGTAGTTTACATGCGAATATAAATAACATTAATCGTTCATGATAAAAATCAGTTTACTTCCATTTGCTGATTCAGGTCATGCAGCTTCCCAACTTAGAAAATCCACTTCAAAGGTACTTATGAAGAAGTACTGCCGTACATTGAACGACGTTTTACATTATACTAAAACACTCTTTGTGTTTACTACCACCAGTTTATAGCGCTCGAGGTTTATAGCTGAAGCTGTGAAAAGCACTTACGATTGTCATAAAAGTGCAAACAGAATTGTTTGCTTTATATGTTCTAAACCATCTGCTTGGTACGAAACCATTTCATAATTGGGTCACTATCAATCTCGCATTAACGAGAACAAATTTGGTAAACTTAAATGAATTCAGTATAAAAAAGCAATTACAATGCTAATACAACGTATATTCACGTTTGACGTCGGAAATGGATGGTTTTATGGGTTATGAATATCAAAGCGAAAACAACGTCCGATTATATTGCTAATCAACTGGATTGTTAAGGGTCATTATTTTTGTTGGCAGTTTATGCCGCTTTTATAACGTTGTAAATATTGTTAATTCAATTATTTATCACTTATCCGATCGTGTTACTGAGATAAATCACTGGTAAATAAAAATCAAATTAAAATTGCAAATGGAACCATTAAAATGTACGCAATTAACAGTACATATAGCCATTTTTTTGTGAAATTATTGTCATCGTTCACACTTCAATAGGTTTAGCTAGACAAAGGGGTTAAATTACATACCGCGTTTTAAAAGTGGCCAGTAGGAAGATCTCGCAAAAGTAAGTTGACATCACCCCATGGTGTTTTGAGAGGCGGTCAGAAAAACAAAAACTACCTCTAAATTTTTTCATTCGTAAACGCTCCGTGTTCCACTCTTGCTTCTCAACGGGTTAGACTAACTCAAATGAAATTTAAAGCAATAATCCTAGGGGCTTCAGCAAATCGCTATGTCGGCTTTGTTAGTTGCTTACCGTTATCTTCATTATCATGTAAAAGACCCTAAGTCGAGTGCCTAGTTATGGTTAACAAAAAACCCGAAACACGAGCAAGTTGCAAATCAAAAGGATCTTTTGGAAAACAATCTATAAAGCTCATGTTCCAACAAACCCTCGTACGTCGATGGAAGAATTAAGACATATCTCCGGGCTTCGACAGTGAAAACCAAGACACTTAATTTTATAAACGCTCGTGTCACTGTTTCCCACATTTTCCCAATTGAGAATAGAAGTCTGATTCGGAGGACTATTAAAAACACAAGAAAAACAAATAGAAGGAGCATTACTGTTATAATAATAAAAGGCATCTCCTATATTTTTCCAAAACCAATTAAGTAGCTTGAAATTAATAAATTGGCCCTTCTGTTCGCAAACAGGATTAAAAAATTGAGTTTAAGCGTTGAGTGAATCCTTCACTCAACGGTTTAAGCAAAGAGATTTAAAGTGATCCGACCAAAGTTTTTACAGAGGATGACCTAGGAACCAAGCAAGCGTCCACCCAGTGCCCAAACCAAAGAAAGTGGAGTTCAATGTGAAGACGAACACAATTTTTCGTGGAGTTGTCCCCCCGGAATTTGTTCTATTTTGACCATATAGTTAACGAGCGCTTATATTTAGACGTTTAAAAACGTGTGAGAGTAGATTGGCGAAGAAAATGGCAGAAACTATCGAGATGCTAGTTCTGGAACACAAATGTGAAGATCAAAAAGCACGACGCACTTCACTTTTGACTGATAATTGGACACCTCTAGCACTCCGGACAGCTCAAGAAAGTGACAGTGATTTGTGTCGATATGGTCCAGTTTTAAAGGCGTATTGGGCTCAGTGGAACTCGTTACTTCTGATGGTCTTCGTAAAAGGGTTCTAAAAAATGATGATGGCACGACCGCAAATGTACAGCTAGTGATAGTGGAGAGCAAAAATATGAAGTACTACGACAGATACACGATAGTATATAGAGGGGACATCTAAGAGTGACTAAAACTCTGGTTAAGGTGCGGGAAAAAATTCTATTGGGTAAATTGCAAACAAGATGTGAAGGAATGGTGCAGAAAATGTGCGACAAGCAACGCAGCAGTAGGAACGAAGAAAGCACCAATGAGGCAATACAATGTGGGTAGCCCATTTGAAAGAATAGTCACTGAGCGGGCCTCTTCCTAGAGACAGCTGCTGGAAACAGGAAACTGGTGGCCATGGACTATTTCAGCAAATTGACAGAAGCATATCAGTAAATCAAGAAGCGACAACTGTAGTAGACGTTCTTTTTAGCAGATTTGGAGTACCCCTCGAATTACACTCTGACCAGAGATGAAATTTAGGTTGGGGCTATTCCAAAGCCTGTGTCAACTATTGGGCATTCGCAAAACCAGAACAGGTGCAAGAAAGTACGGGAGAGAGCCCAGCTTCCGTGTTATTTGGGAGGAAATTCCGGTTGCCGTGTGATTTAAAATTTGGCACAAGACTCGGCCAGGAAGAAACCGTGGGGAGTTAACGAGTACGTGGAGAACTTGTGACAGAAATGCGCCATCCATGACAAAGTTCGTGATAATATGCAGTTAGCTAGTCACAGAATGAAAGAGCGGTACGGCCGACGTGAAGGCCCAAGTTGGTGGTTATCAACCTGGAGATCTGGTTTGGTTGTATCGTCCGCAAAGGAGACGCGGGCTATTTCCGAAATGACAAAGAGCTTGAGAAGCACCGTATACAGTCGTGAAAAGAATAAACGGCTTAATATAACAAGTGGTAGTGCACATAAATCGGTTGGCTCCATACGCGGGGCAGAACGAGCCCCCGGTACGCTTTGGGGGCTTAAGAGAAATTCACCAACATCCCTAGGTTGGTAAGCGTGTTTTCTACGGGAGCAGGGACGATTTCTTTATCTGGCAACAAAATACCAGTCTTATGATAAACCTGGATACGAAGATTTTTGAAATGCACTACGGTACTTTCGACAACAACTAAATTCACGGCGTTGCCACGTTGGTAAATCCAAAGATCGAATGCGGCCTTGATAGGTAAGTTGGACTGGCATATCGTGCGCAATATGCTGGAGGTAGTATTCCAAGGTACCGGGATCGAAATATTATTTGTCTGTTGCTTTAACCACAGAGGAACCCCGCAATCGATTCGTAAGACGGTCTTTTTTCTTCAAGAATGGAAGTGCACGAAGGGATCGTCAAGTACTGCCATCAATTTCGCGTTATAGGTACAAGAATTGCGTGAAACTGTGTCTCCGCTACAACCGTCGTCCGTTTTAAGAAGGAGGCAGTGTATCGAATATTCCAGAAATCTCGGTAGGCATGGAGGCGCCATGAAAGATTAGTCCTCGACAATAAAGAACAAATGCGGATGTGACGTAATGTTTTCGAAAATATGACGTATTTTGTTCTAGAATGTTAACAACATTCGGGAACACTCGAGTATTCTATATAAGCAAGTCGAATTGCGTTTCAGTTCAGTTTCACAATCAACGCTTCACGCTGTTTATTGTGTATGTGTGAGTGATAAGTAATATTTTAACTGTTATAAAACAATTCATTTTAAAACTGTTATAAATTTATTGTTAATTAGTTGTAATAAATAGAGCACCTAATTAAATTTACGTTACAGTATGTAATGTATTGTCTTTATTAGTTCAATTCAATCAATAGTAGGTCTTCTACCCACAGTCGACGTAGTTTCATAGTAGGCGTGCAGTCCATTATTTTATTTATTTATTATATGCGGCATTGTGAGCATAGCCGGCAGAGAATAGTGCCGAGACGTCATTCATATTTAGCATTATTTATATATAAATATATTCATACTATTTTTGTTCTTCCACTTCTCTTATCATTTTCTGAGTTTTTTTATATCATATTACGTATCCAAAATATTCCCGCTGGTCACTTTTAAAATTGACAGGATGAATAACATTTTGATTTAGGTGTGCCAAAAGACGAATGTTTTCTTCAAATAAACATTCCAATTCAAGAATAGGCAATTAAATTACATTTCACAACCTATACAACACAATGTGCACATACCGTGTCGATTCCCTGCAGCGTACGTGTCTAACTAAACTCAGTAGGTGTACTCTGCCATGTTAGAATTAAAAGGATATAATATAATTTTAATTAAATACTCGAACACGCTTCCCTACTTTAATTGTACTACTAATCAATTCGTAATGATATTTTTGGGTTCGGTGTTCGGTCGATTTGCAAAAAATTAATAAAGCACACACAACGAACAACGATTAATAAAATTCTTATAAGTATACGTACTTTAATACTTACGTGTCCTAAATCCTTTTCTTCCTTTTTTATTTTCTTATGATCTGGTTCGGGGGAAGTTCGTGGTCTGTATTTCTCTCGTTCTGCGGGGGATATCGAACTTCTCTGTAAAGAAATAAGCAATAAATTTCACTTTCGGGACACAAATACGTTAAAACGAAGAATAATTAACGACCAGTAGCAACACGGGCGTAAGTCATGATTCTCATTACGCCATTGTTTAAATTCACGAATGTAATAATACGATGCGGAAATTACGGTACCTTATTAATGTGCGAAATAATTAAAATAGTAGCCGTGTGGAGCGACCGTGGAAATTGTGGTTATTGTCATCGTAATTGCTATTGTTTAAGTTTACGATAGTTTAATTTGACGCTTTAACCGCAATGTGGCAGTTGCCTATTGAAAGTGTATTGTAAACTGATACGCTATTATAAAATTGTAATGATTTTGAATCGCCGTCTAATTTATATATACCAGAAAAATAGTTCAAATACAATCAAACAATAGAATCAATTAACCGATACAAATTGCTAATAAAGGTCTCAAGGAATTGGCCTAAAGAGAAAACTAAGAACCCATAACTTACAAAGTGGTTCTTTTTGCAAATGATGTTGATAAAATTTACAACATATAATCAAGATCTGAATTGCTTTAACTACAGGATGGCTGCCCACATTTTTTTAAATTAAATGGACCTCGTTAACTGCTGATTGCATTTCAATCAAGTGCTCAACGTGGAATTGGATGCGTATTCTGTAAAAAAATTAATTTCATAACGGTTACAGATAAAAAGAGTAGACTTATTTTACAAGAAATTTAATGATAAGTACCTACTCTCAGAGTGATATAATTAGGAACAAGCCGAAAATGAGAAAATGTATATAACCGAACAAAGGAAACAGTAGTAGTCCCACGAGAAACATCCGATTATATTAAGTAATATTTCTTTTTTGGCACTTTTTGGGACAAAACTGTCGATCATTTCAGACCCCTAAATAAAGCAAACTCAACACACCCAATAAAGCATGCATGTACTTCGAATTATTCGAAACAATTCTTTTCAGTGGGATTCTGATTTGAAACTTCTCCGCCTCTTCACGAGAACGGAAACTGCCGCCATGTTTTACAGAGCCATCCGAAGATTTCTATCCGCTATCTTAATTTAGGCAGAATCAGATTCTTTGTATGACGAGCATCTGGGCAAGTGGATTTTCGTTAGAGCGAAATGTTAGAGCATATATTAAAATGTGAAAAGGTTTCTGTTCTAGTGCTTAATCTGCATTAATGGTAGAGAATAGGATATTTATCAAATTAATTTAGTACTAGTAGAGTTTTGCAGTCTATAGAGTTATATTAGAAACTGTAGGTATGTATTTAGCTGAGGAAAGGTTAAAAGGAGTTACATCACTCGTTTAAATTGAAAGACGAAAAATTTCGATTCTTAACGACATTATGATTCCTATAAAATGTATGAAAGCATTAAAAAGTTTAAAGCAAACCTCCATTAGCACAAAGAGAATTTCTGCTGGAAATGCAGTGTTAATAATCCAGTAAATGAGGCGACCGTCGAGATCAAATAGGTCATAGAAGCTCTGCAGTTTTACGATCTCTCCGCGTGTTCCGGGTAATTTCTCTGCTGCGTCACGGCTCGATGAAGCTTTTATTTGCCCTAGGGAATTTGTCCATGTCAGGAATAAAACCGTTTAGAATCAAGGCACGTTGAGAGCGACATACAAACCTTCCAATCGTTCCACTAAATAAGTAAAAAGGTTGTTCTCAAAGCCTTTTATATTTAACACAAATTAATAAACGATGTCGATTTGGGTTAAGAATAATTTTCGGTTGACAGGATATCAGCACCCTTCTAATATTTATTCCGAAGAGAAGGTGACCATTTCGAGAATTCAAGTTGTATTATGCAATATGCATGAAAGAATTTATCTGTTAACATTTCTTGGCATCGATCTAAACATAAAACCGGAAAGTGCATCTTGCAAATTGCACACTTAAAATTCTACGACGGTGTTTTGGGGATAAGTTTAGTGTCGAGGCGCGCTAAAGGAAGGGGACGGGGAGAATTTTGAAAGGATCCTGTAAATTAATATTTTAAGGAATTCCTTTTTTGATGCTAGTCATTTAAAAGTAGCAAGTGCATCTTCCATGGCTAACAAGTTTTGGTGCTGAAACTTTTGTTAATGCGTCGAATGGATAATGCTTAATATCATTAGTTCACTATCGCAATATTTGCGGAAAAATCTCCCTGAAAATTTACCCACCAAAGTTTGCTCTCAAAATATTCGCCCTTAAGGAAAATTTGCCACAGACGAAAAAGGGAATAGGGGTAAATTTAACGCGAACGAAATTATGAATACATTTCATATTAACTAATATTTTACCACAGCGCAATGGATTAAATAAACGGTATTAGCATATAGCATGAAAAGCTCTAAGCGAAATATACGATGAGTGAATACAAACACACTAACTCTATTAGAGTAAACACGGTAGTGGTAGCTAACTATAAAATTACATTACTCCCGAATTTCGGTTCACTTCTGAAACGAAATGAAAGTAGACGGTTTCTTGACTGCTACGTAGATTAAAAAAAGTAAACTTATTGATAATTAGAAGTAATAGAGTTCCATTACTGCGCTACAAATCAAGTTGCGACGATACTAACTACCCCAAATTAAATTTCCTCGAGTCTGTTGGCGCGAACATAACTGTAACTCAGACTAAATTAAATTAAGAAGGCGGCGGCGCCACGGTTCAAAACTGAGTAAAGTATTTTTCTCTTAACGACCGCTTTTGTCTTACTTATATTTGAAAAAGCCAAATGACTTTGTAAAGGGGCTCGAAAGATCTGAAACGTAATTGCACCTCGAGGGTATAGTTTCTTTTCTAGATTTTCTTTCCCCCTTATTCTCTCGTTGTTTACGAAAGGCGTTGTTTTGTCATGTTCACGGCTCTAATTTCTTCACGCAAACTGAGTGCGGCGTGTTTCCCTTACGGTCTCATTATTAATGCTTGAAGTGCCTTTAGCTTAATATTTCTATCATTAAGATTTGTTAACTAAATTAATGTTTTTGGAACTTTTTTTGACATACACTACTTACTAATTTATTGGTTTATTTATTTTTTGTTTTGATCACTTTTAAAAGGTTGATTCAATGTACCTACCTTAATAAAATTAATTGGACACTAAACTCTGCCACCGTTTGTGACCCATCGTTGCCAATAGGCTATAATAGTAAAAAAAACGAATCTCTACCAGTGGGAGGGTTGTACAATAATTATTATATATCAAAGAGCAATAAGAACCTTGACTTGTATTTTTAATCATTAAAATGTATGCGATAAGAAAAGTAATATTTCCCGAACTCGAAATTGAGTAGGTATTGAAACAGTTCGTAAGTACGGATTAATTTTGTTTTACGGTCATTCTAATTAATTGTTTGAGATTCGCTAGCATACCTAAATTATAGCGCCGCCTGTCGGTGGAATTTTCCACGCATGCCTCAACACGCATTCTGTTTGCTTTTTAATTTCCTTTTCCGGGCATTCTAGTACAAGCATGCTGAAAACCATGAAGTTCTAATTGTAATTTCCAATTATAAATAATTATTCTGGCATTTCTGGCGATTGAACCTATATATTGTGCATCGCGATTTAGTTGCGGTTTGCGGAGGCTATATTACCTTGGGTTTCACTAATTACGTAAGTACGGCAATTTTGTCCGCCTGTTTAATGCATTTTTTTAGGTTGTTGCTGTAATTTAATTTTTTGATGAGTAACCTTCTTATTGGTTGGACGTATGTTGAGTGCGCCGTTAGAGTGAGGTGTTAAATATAGTTTCTTTCAGGGTTTTAATTTGTGGTTCAAGCTATAGTGTCAGTTTTAGGTTCGAGTTTAAATTTTAGTAACTGGAATGTTGCATCCACTCTTCTTATATCTACGTGAATTTGGATTATCATTTTGTTTGGAGGTTAATCTCGATGCTTGGCCATAGATAAGGAACTAGGGCAGTGAGTCAACCCGAATAAGCTGGAGTTAAAACGAGTTGTAATTCTTGGTCACCTTTTCAAGGATATAGATATTTGAACATGCGGATTTCCATCCGAGGCCGTCGTGTTTTTTCATCGTAATCGATCCCGAATTTGGTTAGGTACAATAAGCTTTCTATTTTGTTCTTATGTTATGTGTGCTTGTACTTTCATCACCGATGCTCGAGATATAATTTTACTTCTTGGAAATTATTGCGGAAATCAGCACCGCGACTTACGCGATCATTATTGAGTTAGGGGATTTAATTGGGATTTTTGTTCAATTTTCACGTTAAAGTTTTGATATATGGAAATTTATTTTGCATGGGCATGGAAAGTTTAATTTCAATTTAATTTAGTTATTGATTTGATTTTGCTTATGGTTGTAGAACAATATATCAATATTTTACTGGATTTCATTGTTACTCTCTTGTATCTTTCCAGTTTGATACAGGGAGAGTTATACATTTAAAGAAGCTGGGTGGCGCTCAATTCTATGGTATGTTGCAAGCTGGCCCAATCTACTCAATCGCTGTGAAGCATCTCAAGGCTTTTTATTCTACAACCCTGAGCTAGCTGGCCGTTTATGCGGGTTCGAGTGGACGCAGCGCTTGCTTAATCCACTGTTATAGTACTTATACTTAAATTTGGTTTCAACAAACCAAACACTAGCTAAAAACTAAAAAACACATACACAATCTACCCTCCTGCGAATGTGTAGTGCGTGGATGGAGTATTTTTATAATAATTTCTACAGTAATTGGTAAATTTCATTACAGGAGCCACAATAGATACATATTTATGTGTCGTGTATGTTGACAATTTCTTTAAACATTTATTGAAAATATTCACAACTCAAAATTACCTGACAATAGAATAATGTCACTCTATCTATTCTCTCTGAAGAACAGTCAGCGGTGACTCTGTTGGCGCTAAATTCAAGTATGAAAGCGCCACATTAGGTTTACTTGTGGACAAGGAAAATCTTATATACTTAACCAAGGCCTTGGTACTCAGTATAAATAGGATTGATGGATGCAAAGTGCTAAAGGTTTGTTA